TAATGACCTGCGCAATCTGCTAAACAAACAAAAAGGGAGGGTCACGTGCAGAATGACCAAATCACGCGGAGAACAACCAAATCTTTGGCTCTTTTATTACTTACATAGAAAAGTCAATTATCAAAAAAAAAAGTTGTTTTGGACCAAAAGTACAAGCCCAACTGATTTTAACTATACAAATAAAGAAAATATCGACCCCATAATTTCTTTAATTTTTTATCTTAACTTGTTTGAAATATTGATAGTAGAAGCCCAAAGATGAGCTCCACAGTAGTTTTCTTTTTAAAATTTCATTTTTGAAAAGAGATAATTTCATAAATCACCCCTGAGGTTTCTGACTAATTCACTGGCCTTCCTCCGGATTTCAAAAATTACACTAACTTTTCTTAAAGTTAATTATCTTGTAACACTTAGACCCAATCAATAATTAAAAGTTGATATTAAGAGAGAGAAAATAATATAATTTCATCATTACCCCTCATCTACTATATTATTTAATTAATTTAATACCAACTCACAAATTAAAAAAAATACTAAAATTTGCTGCTACTTATCATTAGGGATCAAATCATATATAACATCAAAAAATAGTACATTATTTTATATTTTTTACTTAATACAAAATTCAAATTACTCTTTTCAATTCTATACCCATTGTCAAACATAATTAACAACAAATAAATAAAAAATTTGCAACCAAAATGTTACAAAGAACAAATTTTAACATCATAAATATTATTGTCAACATATTAAGTTTAGTTGTTGAGATTTTTATGCTATTAGAGTTCACTCTTTGTAATATTTTGGTTACAAGTTTTTTTATTATTTGTTGCTGATCATGTTTAATAATGAATTTATAACTAAAAAGAGTAATTTGAATCATATATTAAGTGAAATATACAAAATGATATACTATTTTTTATGCCATATGTGATTTAATCCCTGATGATAAATAGCAAATTCTGGTGTTTTCTTTAATATTTGGGTGAGTATTAGTTTAATAAAAAAATTTAGTGGATGAGAGGCAATAATGGAATTATATTATCTTCTCTTGTCCAATATCACTTTTTAATTATTGGTTGAACATATATGTTATAATATAATAAAACTTAAAGGAGGTTAGTGTAATTTTTAAAAGGGTTAATTTCACATACCTCCCCTGAGGTTTTTGACAATTGCAGAAAGCTTCCCTCAAATTCTAAAAATTACACCTGCCTTTCCTATTTTCACTATTTAATTAACATTCTAGACCCAAAAGGCTATTTTCCTCAAAATTTCTATAATGCCCTTGAGTCATAATTTACAACAGAAATGTAAAGGGAAAAAATGGTTCACCGTCTCTATTTCATTTATTTTTACTTGTTATCACTATTATCTACCCATCAACATCCACATCACCATTAAATAAATAATTATCTTTGTTCTAATATTACTGTTTTACCTAAAAATTTCTTATATAGATCATTGTATTAACTATAAACGCTACATCAGATACCCAAAAGTTTACCTATTATCTCATATCAATATTAGATTTTACTTAATAAACAATAATACTCATCAATATCCATAAATTTCAATTCTATGGCTATCATCTTTTTAATACAAAATAATCGAAACCATCACTACTAATATCAATATCTAATATACTCCATTGGTATAGAGTTCAAAATCAATCAAATTTTCTCCATAGGAATAACATCAATCATTGTAAATCAAAAATAAAAATACAATGCAATTATAACTATATATCAAGAACATTTTTTCATGGTAACCATAACATTATAGCCTATATTTAGCTCCTATTAAAATTCCCATACTTAATTTTTATTTTTATCACTATCACCATCTTCATTTCCATCTAGTTTGATAATGAAATTAGCACTCAATTTGTCATTTGATAATTTCAATTTGCTAATGCCTATCAAAAATTGAAAACAAAAATAGGCACAAGGAAACTATTTTATAATAATGAAAAATCAAGAATTGGGAATAGATACCAAGATATGTAAGTATTGGTGGTTTGGTGTGTATAGTGATTTTATTAGTGGCGACAATACACATTTGGTTGATAATAATACATAGTTGAGTTTGAAAGAAAAATAAATGTAGGAGGAAGAGGATATATAGATAAATAGGAAAGGCTGTAGTTTGAATTATTGATTAATAACAGATGAGAAAATTTTAATATTTGATAGAGTTTTTTAATGAGTTGAGAATTAATGAAGGGTATTGGTAAGGGCATTGTTGACAATATTTGATAGAGTTTTTTTAATGAAGGGCATTGTTGTCTTTTTATTACACCAAGGGAGGTCTCCGTAATTACGTAAATCTCAAGGGAGTTGAGTGAAATAGTCAGAAATCTTAGGGGATGTTTCTAAATTATCCCTTTTTTAAATGAAGAAATAATATAGGTATTAGCTACAAATAAAAGTCTAATTTTGAAACCTCCACTGGTAACTTTCCTTCTAAAACTTCATTTTTGAAAATGAAGAAAGAATATAGCCATTGGCTATGATAAATAGCAGTGTGCTTTCGAAAAGAATCTCCACTAGATTGCTTCTCCAAAAACACAAAAAGAAGAAATATAAAGAAAATCTAAAAAATTCTAGTAATATTTAGAATTTAGCAGGAAAATATTCTAGCTAATATTTGAAAGTGTAGTAAAATTCTATGCAACTTCCACAATGCAAACTACATAAGACATGTTGAGAACATAAAAAAAAGGAGTTACTCAAATTGTCCATTCCTTTTTATACCCCTAAATCTTCCTTAGGGACTTGCTTCCTCTGTTAAACATTTGATTACCTCCTTTCTTTTCGACTCTCCTCTCTCTCTCTCTCTCTCTCTCTCTCTCTCTCTCTCTTATTTATCTATTTTTTTTTGTCTCTTCCTCTCATGTACCTTAGCCTTCTCTCGTCTCTCTTTTCTACACCTTTTCATGTATTGTCTTTTTACTCAATCTCACTTATTCTCCTTTTTGTTTTATTCTCTCTTCTCTCTCACTTATCAATTGTTCTATTGGTGATAGCTTATTTTGTTGTTCTTAGTTGAGGTGGTAATGATGATTATGTGGTGTTGAGAAATTTATACTGGTCAAGAGCAATTGTCTAGCAAACCCAATAGTTAGTCTTTCACTAGTGAAAATACTCCAAATAAAATCATGGAACTATTAATTCTATTGATTGACAATTTTAATCTGACACTTGGGGCCCTTACCTTGTCCAATTGGCAATACCATGTTGGTCAAAAGTCGATTACTAATACTTGCCAAATAGATATTCTAGATTAGGATAAAATTTCTTGTGTAATGCTATGCTAGCAAGGAACCAATTACTAATAAATAATGGGAAAAAATATTGCTATGTTATTCACACTTTTATCTCACATTATTAAGTCATTCAAAATGGAAATAGTAAATCTAAAAAACCACAAGTAATAGTAAATTTATAATTATTAAAGTCATGACATCCATAAAGTAGTTGTATGCTCTCCGACTTGCTAATTTCTTGTCAAATAAAAAATGGTTAGATGAGTTTTTCAGTTTCTAAGTACATACAAAGGAGAATACAATATATTAACTAAATCTACTTTTCTCTTCAAACTAGGTATTTTTGAAAGTTAGCTCTAGATTTGTTTTTCAAAAACATCTTTGGACAAGGTGTTTTTGAGTATTTTTTAGAACTTTTTGAACAATTTATGAAAACCACTACCCTCCTTTTTTCCTCACCACCTCTCCCTAACTTTGCCACTCTCACAAGAAGCTTTTTTTCAAATTTTTCTTGCCATCTTCCATCTTCCTTGCCACCTCTCTCCTATGTTCAAAGCCCTTTAGTAAACATGCAACCCTCCTATTTGGTCACTATGGACAAAAGGCAAGTGAAAAGTGGTGGATAAGGGGGAAGGAAAGGGTGATTCAAGGGAAAAGAGGGTAAAGGGATGGCAAGACATTGGTCAAGAGGGAAAGAATAATGTTTGTATCAATATATTATTTTGTGTCTGTTTTTTAGTTATTCTTTTTGTGGTGTTTTAGAATAGAATTAATCTTTTTATGCACTGACAGTGTGTACATTTTCACCATTAGATACATGACACATAATTTAAATTTGAATTTGAAACCCAAATTTTGCACATGTGTCTTGCATCCAACCGTAATAGTGTATATACTACCAGTGTATATAAGATTTACTCTTTAAAATATAGTTTTGGGTGTTTTTTAAGGACTTTTAGTGTTGCTATTTTAGATATGTTTTTCATAAAACATGTGTTCGTGAAAATTTGGAATCCAAACAGAACGTTAAAAGAGTTGGATTAGAAGAATTGAGGAGTTTAATATAAAAGTTAAAAGGCGAAAGTACCCTCCTAAGCAAGCAAACGAAAATGGATAGAAAAATCAATATGGTACATATGACTAAATTTATAGCATTAATTGAATAAACTTGAACAATATCTCAAAGCCGAAAGACCACAAATTCTTATAGTAAATAAGCCGAAAAGTGCTATTCTTTAGATAAAGCATTGGTGGATAACTAGTTTGGAAACAAATCTATATATACATAAAAAAAAAGTTCTTTCTTTGAGAATATTGAATTAAGTAGAAAAAGTTAAGAAAATCTTACATTCAAAAGGATTTGGGTTATGAACATAGAAAGAAAAATAACAAGACAAAAATAAGACAAAAATTATTGAGTATTTTAATTTTCTTCTTCATTGTTGCTTAGCTAAATTATGTGCTCCTCCATTGGCCTTTTTATTTGTTGACAAAGCGAAACAAGTCAATACAACAAACGAGAAAGGATCAATGACATTGAAAAAGAAATGAATCTCAAACCCTTGAAGCAATTTTTGCAAATTAGAGGATTGAATTGAGAAAAGAAATTTTTATAGGGCTTGGTTGACACACTGGCCTAACTGGGAGGGCCCAAGTGGACTTAATTTGAAAAGATAAGACGTAAAAATGATTGTAAGAAGACCTAAATTGCAATTACCCTCTCGTACAAAAAATCCATCACGTAACCGTTACAAGATAACGTATTTGCTTCTATGCCAAAAATAGAGGGAAAAAAAAAGGAGAAAACTGAAACAGCAGATTTACCCACTCAGACTGTCACACCTCACTTCCTTGTATTTCTCTCTCACACACTCACGCACTCCGCAATTCTCAGTTCTCAACTGCCGGGCCTCCAGTCTCCATTGCCAGGTAATTTTCCCCCCTCTTTTTGTCTCATAGTTTTCCGTGGAAAATTCAAAATCTTAGCCCTACTTGAATTAAACCCTAATTTGTGAAGATTTGTTTCTTGTACTGAGGATTTTATTTGGATTTTCTTGGTGTATTTTGGAGGAAAGATTTAGTATTTAATTGCAGTTATTTATTTTTCTTGTTCTTGAAGTAAAATTTGAGCTAGGAAAGAATTTTTGCTATATTTTGGTTTTGGTCATTATATTTCGCAGGTGGAGTTTTTTTCGGTTTTAGATAGGGAAAAATGTTGAATTGAGGTTTCTTGAACTGTTTTTGTAGTTAAAAGTTTTGACTGAAAAGCAGGTGGAGAAGAGGCTGGAGTGTGCTATACTAGTAACAGTGTTTAGTTACCAAGAAGAGGGTAAGCTTTACATTTGCAATAAAATTTTGAACTTTTACGCCACATTTTTATTTTCATGAACCAAAGTTGTGTACTTGTTTAATTTGTGAGTGTGGGGTTATTGGATTTGACCTTTCAAACCTTCTCAGGACATGGTATTTGATGTAGTATTTAATTTGTTATAACGTTTGCACATATATGGTCTTCATGAGTGTATGTTTCAGTGGCTTTATTTTGTAAACAAAAGGTAGTGTGAAATCCTGATGCCAAGAAATGGTTGAGTCTTAGGCACGCTATTATTGGGATATTAAGGATTAGTAATATTTAGTGAATCAGAAGGCAGTTGTGGTGCATAATCTAAAAGCACAAATTTGATATGAGGATAATTAATTCAATAAGGAACCTTACTGTCTTGGATTAATAATTAAAATGTATCAGAAATCCTGAAATTTTAAACAGCATGTTTATATGCAAAGAAATAACTTCACCGGATGATATAGAATATTTTTGTAAAACCTGATTCGATGTGTGGTTGAAGATAGCAGGGAATGAATGCAAACTGTAACAGAACATATCAAGAGATGCTGGTCTAAGAGATATTAAAAAACTATAACACAAGAAAGTCAAGAGGCTACCGTAAACAGGCACTGTCTACTCTAAGAACAAAAGAAAGTTCTGTTCTTTAGCATGTGAACCATGTGGTGTCATTGTGCTTCTTTCACTTCTTCTCATCCATGTTTCTACAGATGCAAAATCCATGTTAAAGTCCTTATATTCTGATAGACTGATGTTTGAGATACAAATCTGAAGAATAATATAAACCTTGAGGCAATAACATACCTTTGGCATTTTAAACCTATAACCGAAAACCTTCTTTCTTTCCCCTCTTGGATAAGGTTTGTACATTTATTTTATGGATGAGTTTCTTAGAGGTTGTATAATTAGCCAAATTTGATCAGAAATAGGACTAAAGGTGTTTCTGTTCTGTTTTATCTGTACTAAGCTTATTTTGGTGCAGTTTATATAGGGTAATGAATATGGGTAGTTAGAGTACAGACACTGGGTCTTCGTGAAAAGTATTATATGCCTGTTGTTGTTAGCTTTTAGTTCTGCTCCATATCATAGCATTAACTTTCTTAGCAGGCAGGGTTAAGTTGTTATCTACTTTGTTCAGCAGTCCCGTTAGCTAATTTATCCATTGCTGTGCCATGTGTTGACTCACTTCTTTTGTTGCATGCAGGCAATGAGCACATAGTATTCCTAAATAATCAACAGTTTGACACTATGCCCTCAATGAAGAAGGTTTGTTTGAAGATTAACTCTTGCTAATGATAACATTCATTGGTCCTATCTGTATGAGTTGTTTCTAATTACATTTGACAGTAATTGGTGCATGATTTACATATGACCGTGTGATTTCCTGGAGGAATTTTTTTTTTTTTTTTGCTTCTACTTCTCTTGACTTTACCTCTCACCTTTTTTTGGACTCCTGGGGGTTTTAGGTGAGTGGATTGATGGTAGTTGGAGAACGAATGCTGTATCAAGTTGTCCTTACAGTTTCAGCTGGTGTGAAGATATAGGACTGAGGGCAATTTAACACCTTGTTTAATTTGAATACATATGAAATATCAGAAGGAGGCAAAGTGCCTAGATTGATTAGCCTTCGAAGATGGATATGATAAGTCATGCCTTGAAGGAAAACACAGCTTAGGTAGAGTTAAATGTAGATAAAAGGTTTCTATATCAGATTCATATAGTTTGAGCTCTAAAATGTGTATGGTAGCATAGCGCTTGTAGTTGTTTCAATATGATTAACTTGGATAAGTTGGAAAATTGCCCTGACCTAGCCTCTTGCTCACCGGCAATGGGTAAAGAAAGAGGTGTTAAAAAAGAGGCAAAACAATGCCTTCTAGTATTGACTCTACTGCATCTATATACGTGATTTAACGTGAGGTAAACAGATGATCTATTTCAATTTTTGGTTAAGAACATTAAGTGTGTAAAACCGTGTTGTATTTTGTATGGAGTAGGTAGTCTATACTGACTTGTATACAAGAGTTGGGGAATTCTATTTGTGATAGCCTTCTGAATTTCTGTTCATTTTGTTTCTAAAATTTTTCTGGAAAAAAGAAAAGTGAGAAGATGAACTAAGACTTAGACCAAGGGCCACATATTCTCTTTTGAGTGAGGTACCTTGTGTGGAGTAGGCAGTTGATATTGACTTGTATACAATAGGTGGTGGGTTCTTTCGGTGATAAACTTCTGAATTTCTGTCTATATCGTTTCTAAAATTTCTCTGGAAAAGAGAAAATCAAGAAGAGGAAGTAAGACTTAGACTGAGGTCCATAGATTCTCTTTTGGGTGAAGGGACTTATCTTTCAGCATCTTGGATAAAGTAATAATCAGACTGGGATGTGAAAGGGTGCTGTCATAATATAATTGTACTAGACTGCGTTGCTTATGGATGTCTTTCAATAACATCAATCTTGATGCACATCTGCAGCTTTTCATGAAATGATTAAATAGTTACTCGAGCTACTTTCATTAAGATATTGAGATTGTGAACCTTTAAAGGTGGTAAGCTGATTATAATATGCTGAAGGATCACTGTTATAAAGAAATACATTTCTCTGGTCCAATGCCTCTTGAAGGCATAGTTTACTCCTTAGAGCAGCTTTCAAATTGTTCATACCAGTCATTAATTGAGATCATCTCTTACTTATGTGTGGGTGTATGATAAATTCAGAATATTCACCTAAAGTAAATGAAAAGAGGCGAACTTGATGGTACGACTCCAATTAGATGCTGTCTGCTTAGTTAGTCTCCTTAAGTTTTGTTTTGCGCTTAAGACTATAGTTGTGAATCTGTGCACTTCATTTTAAACAATCACTGGTTTAAAGTCAGTGGACAAATTCAACCAAAAAGAAAAATTGATGAAGACAAACATGCAAATGAAGTAATCTTATTGTTACATTTATTAAAGATGATCTAATTGACAATCTCTCATTTAGTTTAACATGGTTATGATCGGAGCAACTAATCTCATAATGTAGTTGAGGAGATAGAATTTCCAGAGCGAATGCTTGAGTAGGTCAAAGTACAAAAGATTGACGAAGGCATGGGTATTAGAGTTTCAGTTCAATCCTGGGGGAATGGTTGGGAGGGAAGATGAGGGTGAAGGGGATGGAGTACCTGATGGTGTTAAGGAGAGTGGACAAAAGTAGTGTTATAAGGTATGTGTTTTTCTCTTTTGCATGCTCTAAGTTTCCTCAACTGGAATTACCATCTTTGATTCCTTGCTCTTGCTCATATAATGTCTCTATAAAGGTTTCTTTCCTGTATTCAGTTATTGAGGATGGGTGTGAGGTGTAGCTTGTGATGATATTGTCAACTATAGCTGCAAAGCAATCGAACCAAAATTTGTTGTCAGGCTTGATTTGGGCGTTTTACCTCAGATGGTTTTCGAGTTTCATTTCCACATGAATTTAAAATGCAATATCAAGTTCCATTCAATATCATATCAGTTGGGTTGAGTCGCTGGAAATTTTGATTTATCTAATCCTTTGCTTTTTTAAATCATGGTCTAAGCATTTTTTTTGTTTTTGGAAACTCAAACTCTGATATTTCTTATATTGCAAATATTACATTTAATGATAATATACTATTTAAGTGAAAAGTTAAAAGATTATTTGAGCCTTTATCACATTTTTCAGCTGAACTGCTCTGGTAAATTAAAATATTGTTCTTGCTTGAGTTGTGTAGATTTTGAAATTGAATTGAACCCTAACCTTGATATGTTATTGATCTTTCATTTACTGCAATTCGTTCTAATTCTTGAGCCTATTATATTATGGGCCTTTATTCCTTTGTTATTTGGGAAATTGCAGTTCAGATGAGCGTTTACTTGTTCTAAGTTGTTAATTGTTGACTGTGAGCACTACTTTCCCAAAAAAAGATATGGTAGACGATAGAAATTAACCATGTTCAATTCCCTTTCAAAACTGGATAGTTTTCCTTCTCACTCTGTTCTCTTTCCTGTGAGTTTCCTCCTGATAACAGTGTATGGTGGACATTTTTACTTTGTACTTTAATTTTCATTCAGATTTTTGCTTATCTTCTTTTAGATGTTTATGGATGTAGTCTGATCTCATTCCTTTTGCTTTCTAAAAGAACAACGAAGAAGGCGTTATAGAGGGCATATTCAATAAACTGCTGAAGGGGATTGGAGATCCAATGGATTTTGAACTTCCAGAATGGTTGAATAGATGGAAACCTACAGCTTACAAGTTTATTAAGCGCAGTATCCTTTCAAATTTTTATTTGATTTTCTGTTACCATGTTTTCTGAACATTTTAATATCTGTTGGTTTAGAAATACTTGTTTTTACTTTCTACTGTCCGGTTCTCTACATCTTAAATCCCTGTTGGTATTAACATATCAAAGATATATATCTCACGAAGAGGAATAAGAGGCGTCTGGAGGATGATGGCATATTTTGTTCCTGCAGCTCATCAACTGGATCTTCTGGTGTTTGTGATAGGGATTGCCTTTGTAGGTAAGATTGCTAATATCATCTATGGTTTGCAATTAAAACTTAATTGCAGCTATGTAATGTATGTAGCAGAGAGTGAGTTACATGAACGTGTTGCTTATAAAATTTTTCTACAGCAAGCAGTATAATTGGAGTATGAATGGGTAAGTCTTGTAGGACATGGCGCATTTGCTTTTTGGCAGTATTAAATTAACAAGTGTAACCTAGTATTATCTGCTCTGGTTTGAAAATAGTGAGCTTTTTGGCAGTAGTTGCAAAACAGGCTATTTGAGGGTAGGCCAAATTGTTGACTTCTCTAATGCTGCTAACCTGGTTTAGGCCTGATAATCGAGAACTTGAGTTGGTTTGGGCGAAAAGAGGGGTCCAAAAACTGTCTGAGTTGATACATGGAAAAGGGCCTCACTGAAATATGTTTTACACCTAGTTTTGTGGAAAACTTGCCTACCGTATTAACGTCTAAATCCTGTAGTTTTCCCTTTAAAGTTGTGTGCTTTTTGATTTATTTTTCAGATTTTACTGTGTGGAACTATTTATTATTTATAGCTTCTGCAACAGTGTTTTTTCTGAATAACCACTTCTATCTTGTTTGTTTTGCAATGTATGGTAAAATTTCATACTTATAGAAGCTAAAGGGTTCTTTGTGAAACGAGAATGGTATTGTTTTTTTCAAGCAGCCGTTCTGAAAGGCCATCTGTTGAGGTATGGTTGTGGCTGAAATTGGGATGTTTTAGTATTATTTGGGATTATGTTTCCCTTCCCTTTAGGAGCTGTGTTTTGCAATATATATTTCCCTTCCCTATCTTGTTTGTTTTGCAATGTATGGTAAAATTTCATAATTATAGAAGCTAAAGGGTTTTTTTGTGAAATGAGAATGGTATTGTTTTTTCCAAGCAGCCATTCTGAAAGACCATCTGTTGAGGTATGGTTGTGGCTGAAATTGGGATGTTTTAGTATTATTTGGGGTTATGTTTCCCTTTCCTTTAGGAGCTGGATAGACAGGTTCGTTTGTGCATGTTTGATTTGTTCTTATTGTGATCCTTTTCATCTATTTTGGCCTATACTCATTGCTTGTAGGAGTAGCACACACCATTTGAGTTGTTCTACATCTCTGTTAGAGCATTTTCACCATGTCTGCCTAGAATCAGTGTGGAAATATCTATGCCATTTAGTGTACATTTCAAGTTCTTTGCTAATTGAAGTCTAAGCTACCGTTTCTTTGTGGAGTTCTGGATGTACAGATGATAAACTATTGTGACTTTTGGATAGCTTCCTTTGCTTAAGGGAAGAAAATGTGGTGTCTAAATTTTGTTAATTTTGAACTGAGAATGCAATACCTATGTTCCTTGAAAATGTTTTCACAGAGGATTTTTCCAATGACTTGTTATTGTATCCTGACTTTTTAAATTGATTTGTTTACTGTTGATTGCACTGTTTGAGGAAACAAATGCATGTCCATCATGAGCTTCTATTCTGCATGCTGGAATCGTGCACCATTTATTAACAATTTCATCTTTTCCAGCATGCTGCAGTCCAGCTGCTCCTCAGGCTGCAAATGTGGGAATTCATGCTTGAATAAGCCATTCCATCAACGCCCTGCAAAGAAGATGAAAATAGTGCAGGTACAAGCTAGGCCTTGGAGTAGTTAGCCTGCCATTGAATTTGGTCTGGGAATCTGATTAAAGACAGATGTTCATGAGGGGTCTGTTAAATGCAGCTCTTGATGTCAGAGTTCTTTTGACTATACGTATATGGATATACTGTTCTAGGTTTGGATGATAATGATGATTGATTCAATTTTCATTTTTTTCAATTTCTCCTTTCAAGTTGAATTTTGGCTAATCTTTTTTCGACGTTATTTACTTAAGCTATCCTGCAACCTCAAAAAAGAAGAATCCATACTTGAAATCTTTTCGCTTTGATTTTTAGTTTTAGTCACAGAGTCTATAAGATGTTAAATTTAAATTCTGCTTTGATGTGCAGACTGAAAAATGTGGATTGGGAATTGTTGCAGATGAAGATATAAAGCAAGGAGAGTTTGTAATCGAATATGTTGGAGAAGGTGTTCTTTTTCTTTATTCGATAAAATATTTGCTTTTCAGAATTCTGTTCCTTTGAGCTGTCCTCGCAAACATGGAATTGATGAAGAGTCTGCAATTCTTGCAGTTATAGACGATAAAACGTGTGAAGATAGGCTTTGGAAGATGAAACACAGTGGGGAAACAAATTTTTACTTGTGTGAAATCAATAGAGATATGGTGATTGATGCTACTTACAAAGGAAACAAATCCAGATACATCAATCATAGCTGTTGTCCTAATACGGAAATGCAGAAATGGTCCGTAGCTGATGATCTCTGTTGCCATTTCATTCTTTTATTTGTAAAATCTGTGTATTTGTCTGAATTTTAGCCTCTTTCTTGGGGTTCGATGTCATGTAACCTTACATGATAGGAGGATTGACGGCGAAACAAGAATTGGCATATATGCAACACGTGATATCAGAAAGGGCGAGCATTTGACCTATGACTATCAGTATGAGCAAGCAATTGTTCCTTTTTTCCATCTCTTTCTTCTAGCATATTGAATCTGCAATCTTTCTATTCCAAATTTTGTACTTATCTTCTTCTTTTTGAGTCTAACAAATGTAGCAGGTTTGTTCAATTTGGTGCAGATCAGAACTGCTACTGTGGTGCTGCAGGTTGTAGACAAAAGCTTGGGGTTAAACCTAACAAGCCAAAAACACCATCTTCAGATGCAGCACTCGAGATAGTAGCCTGTCAGCTTGCTGTGACCTCTCCCAAAGTGAAAGCTTTTCTATCTACAAATGATGTAAGTATGCGATGCTGTTTCTATATGGTTAATATAGGGTTCACACAGTTGTCTTGCAGTTATTTTTTTCACTTGTCATAATTTTGGTTTGTTCTGGCTGAAGTTTTATCTAGTAAATTCGTGGCTCCAAGTTCTTTTGGGGCTGTTGAGTCTGAAAGAATAATAGCACACAAGTAGTTGTTCAACCTTCAAGGAATTGAATTTTAGCTACCATTTTTGGAACTTTTTGGCTTTTCTTTCTCTTACTTTACCTTGATTACATAATTAGGATCTTAATTGTAGGGCATCAGATGATCTGTGGTTAGATTGTTCTTAGAGGTTAATTTTGCTGTTGGGATAAAAATGGATAAAATTGGAAGGCTTCTATGTAATATCATGCATGTATGCAACATGGTCTCAGTACCTCTGTGCAATATTGAGGTGCCGCTAACGTTTTGGAGTTCCATCTGTTCTTCATTATCTTAGGTTTTTTATGAGCCTCTTTTCTGTCCTTTTCCATTTTCTGGGAATGTACTTTACTTTCATAGTTTCCTTACTCTCATATATTGGTTGGTTCATGTATATAATCTTGTTGATAGTTTTTTAATTTGCCCTTCTTTGTATCGCAGGTATATGCAAATGGAGTTTCTTCTGCTGGTAACTACTAATTTTAATAGAGTTTGCCCATTTTTTCATTTATTGGATAATTTGTTTAGCTCTGCACAAGATTCTGTTTGCCACAAAAAAAGAAAAAAAAAGAAGAAGCTCTAAACAACAGACATGATGATTCTTCCTGACTTTTATCTTTTAGGAGTAAAGTGTGATTCTGTTGTGAGAAAGTATGCTCGGAGTTGCATCGGAGAAGTAGTAAGAATAAGCCACTCTCTCGATAAGAGGTATTCCTATTATCATTTCCTCTCAACTTGGCTTATTCCTAATTAAAATGATGTTGTTAATTTTTTTTTTAATAAGTTTTCATGTTATTCATCGCAAGGAAAGACGCGTACTTGTTTGGGATTGTTTGTAGTTCTTTGAAGCTGCTGTTTAACTATGTCTAATGTTTAAGCTGAACAATCGTTGCTTTATGCTTGCTAGAGGCAGTCCTGATTTTATCTGATACAGTTCATGTTTTTTGTTGCATATAGATCTAGAGGTTAAAGTTTAGTATTAGCAAATTCCTCTTAAGAAACACCTGCTGTACCTTCTTAAACATTTCTGTGTTGCACTATTATGTGTTCAATGTGGGACAGCTGTTTTCTTTTAAGACGTTTCCATCTTGGGTCAGACTAGCAGAGCAGTAGTGTTAATAGCGGTATTTATAGTTGGTATAAACTTTCATGTTTAGTTTATAGACTACTGTTGGTTTGGCCATTTGACCATGTTTTGTTTGTTGTATATCCATTGATGTTTGTTGGATGGAACACGAGGAAAAGCACTTTTTTGATCAATGGTGATGTTATTCTTCTGAACAAAAAGCTTAAAATAGGGTATCTATTTGTTAAACAAGAAGTAGTCCGTGTAATAAATAAACAATGCCTTTCCATCAGGGTGCAGAGTAACATTTAATAAATCTGTAATTCGCCTTTCAGTGGCTACAGTTTCATTAACTTCTTTTGACTTCCCCACTATCACTTGCTTATCCTGTTCTTCCATTGCCACCCCTTCTCTTCCTGTATTCCCTGCCTCCCCATTTTCTGACTCTACCCTACATCCTCAACAAAGTTAGATACATCATTTGGAAAAGATAATAGAGTGAGAATAAAACATACAAGTTGGTTCATGATTTTTTTTTTTGTTCTTTTGCCTCGCTGTCCCCCAAGTTGTCCCAGAAAATGAGAAAATATATTCATGTTTTTACTTTAACAAACAACACAATGAAAAATTGTTATGTATACAACCAACACACAGTACTAAAAGCATAAGCTATATTACATTTTGCCCTTGGAAAAAAAAAGGGAAAGGAAAGAAAAATGATATCTCTCCTGGGAATTTTCATGGATTAGTAGGCTGGAAACAAGTAGGAGAGAGACAGCTTTTTTGCTTTTGAACCTTTGGCAGTCAAACTTTGATGGATCTTGATGTTACGGGATTTAAGGGCTTTAGAAGTGAAAACCTTCTAACTTGACTTGGACGATCTGCTAATTTCTTCGAAGATGTTAACGATCAGAAATTTCTTGTTTTGTGGGTTTTCTTATAGCCCTTATCCTGATGCATCAGTTTCCATATTGCAGGAAATATCTTAGTATCTACTGGAAATGGAAACCATATTTCATAAGTTGACATTGTTAGAATCCTTTCAGCTTTGTTTGTTTTTTCTTGAATACTGTCAAGGTATTTAAGTTATGATTGTATTCCAGTTCCTTATGAAGTGAATCTTGAATTTTGCCTTCTTTTGTATGTAGTAAACTAATCTTCTACTTTTTGAAGTCAATTGCTAGTGATTCTGGAATTAGTTTCCTCATTTGCTGTATCCTTTCTTTGCTGAATTTGATTCCTGTGTTCTTTGGTCTTTCTTACCCCGCCCCTTTGTATTGCAGATCTTTTGGAATTGTAAAGCAGTTTGATAAAAGCACCAGGAAACACTTGGTAAGATACTGTTTGGTCTGCTCGTTACATGGTTAATGTTCAACTGGATTTGAAAGGCAGATACACTCGTTTATCATTCTGTTCTGCTTCTCTTTTCAGATAATGTTTGAAGACGGCACTCTTGATTTCATTGACATGTCAAAAGTAGAGTGGGAGCTTTTGTAACCTTACAGGATAATTGATAGGTAAAACTAATTTGATTATGGTGGTTCCTATATTAAATGGTTTCACTCAGAGTTCCTTTTGGCAGTAGACTGGGCAGGCCCCCCCGGGGGGGGGGGGGTGGAGGGGAGGTTGAGTGAAAGAGGCATGGATATCCATGATGTCACCCACTTGACCTGATACTTTTTTGATGAGATGAATGGGATGCTCCTTTGTATTTGAATATCACTGGCCAATACATTTTCGTGCAATTTGCCTGAAGTTCTTTTCTTTTCTAGCGTTGAATCGTCTAATATCATCGTTTTCTTATATTTAAGTGCTGAATCAAATTTGCCTCAAGATTCAGCAATTCTGTCATCATTTTACATATAGTTGGTATGGAAAATCTTCTAAGGTTTTGTGCACCTATGGATTTGAAGTTTCGATTTTATGGCTCGTTTTCTACTGTTACAGCAAAACCATCTAATCTTTTATATTTGGAATTATGGGGACCATAGAAGCTCTGAGGCATTAAGACTTGCACCACTTGGTCATGATTGTAGTAGTTGAATTTTTTTTTTTTTTTTTACTTTCAGCAGTTTTATTTTGCAGCCATCATTTGCTATGGCCTGACAGCCTGTCTCATAATTTATGATCTTGCATTTACTTACCCATTTGTGTCACCTTTTTACATGCAAATACCCTGATTGATTTCACCCTAATATGTAGCTGTTCCAGTAAATTATCTAGTTCAATAGCTAACTTCAAACTGGTTATTTCAGTACATTCCGGAGAACGGTTTGAATTATCCTCTGTTCCTAAATTTTTCTCCTCCATATTTTCCTATGTTACTCGGGACTCTTCACTTTGCCTGGCCATACCTCTGTCAGACTATTCATTTTGCACTGAAGTACCCGTTCCATGGGACTCCCATTCCAGAGTTATAGACCTGGATAAGGGCTGAAGTTTATGCTGTCAAAGAAGTTGGCTTACCACGCATTCACTTGAGAAGTGCATTATGAAATTTATGTGGTTAATGAGAACTAGCAGGATATCCAAGATGTTATGTTTATGTCATGTTAGTCAGGTTCCAGTGCATTTCCTGTACTTTTACCTGGAAAAAAGTTTAATCTTTATCTTACTTTCTTTAAAATCTTGGTCTGTCGTCTTGAGAGGTTCGGCTGCAAATCATATCATATACTGTTGTCTCCTATTTGTTTCTTACAGTGTATTCTGCACTAAATTGTTTGTATGAATATCTGTTTCTTGAATGTGATTTTTACTTCTTGACATCCATCATGTTGCAGGTAGTAGTAATCAGAAATCAAGCATACATGATATAGAGGAAAATGCACGCTAACTGTTCAAGGATATGTTCTTATAGATAAGCAACAATTTTGGACTTTTGCTTCACAGGGATGTTGTTGTACCATGTGTATCTTGGCTCTGTTCAAATTCTTGTAGTCAATAAAATAATTTTACTTGTTTGATTTTTGGCTTGATATCCCTAGCATGGATGATAGCCGTCGCTGATTCTTTCTGCCTCGAGAGTTGCAAGTGTAATATAGCTTTAGAATGTGTCTAAACTGATTTTGTAGCAAATTCATTTTGCCATTTTTCAATAGTGACAATTTGTATTTGCATTGGTGATATTTACATGTTTTCATTAGTTGGTCCGCTTACTGTCAGCTTCTTATTGCAGTAATTTTATTTTGCCTTTTATTTTTTTTATTTTTTTTTTATTTTTCGACACAGGGGTGTCCGGGTCAATCCTTACGGGGTCCGACTAATCCCCTGCGGCCCGGACCCTGCGCCCTAACCCGGTCCGAACACGTTAAGTGCGCGGAGGAATCCAGCGTAGCGGAGACTCGAACTTGTGACCTCTAGCTCTACCAAATTGTGGAATGGGAAAATCGCCATTTTAGTCTTTCAACTTTTTCACTTAAATCGATTTCATTCTTCAACTTTTATTTAGCTGTTTTTAGTCCCTCAGCATAAATTTAGTTGTCAATTACATCCTTTTACGGTGGCGCCACCAATTAAATTCTTTTCAATGCAAAAACACAGGGTGATATACTGCAAATTGAGGGTAAAAAATGGGGAAAATCTAGGAGACTATAGTTGCAATATTCAATGATTTCATCTTCTTCATATAGCTGCTGCATTTATGATTCATCTTCTTTGCTTGACCTGAAGCTCTGACTAAGATTTGGCATTCTACTCATGACACGTTCCAATTCTCAATTAGTAATCGCTATGGGCATCTCACTAAGTAATCTCCAATTCTCAACCAAAATCAATTAGCAAGACCTTTTCATGTAGGCAAGGCATTTTAATGGAATATAGCGAGGTGGACAGAAAAAAAGGATAGACTTTTCTCTCAAATTGTAATGGAATAAAACTCAAATTCAACTGAAGTCAAGCCCAAAATTTTTCCAATCGAAATGGTTGCACATCAATCACGACTAAGACAGCCATAAAGAAAAAAAATTATAATCACACTGTTTCTAAGAAAAGCCAATCAAATGTTTGGCAGCATAGCAATCCATATCTCAAATGTTAATGTCAAGCGAATTCGTGTAAAAAAAAAAAAAGTTATATAAACATCACACGGATTAGGCTATCATACAATCCCATTGATACGAGCATATCCCTTGGTATATATACTTTAACAAATTACTAGAATTTTACCCGTGCCTTAGCATGGTATTTTTTTTTTATTGTGAATTTATATAAATAAGAATAATTTAAATACAAAAATTAACAACAATCCTACATCATCATTCATATTAACTTTAAAAAATTAATGTATTCTAAATGCTCAATTATTTACTAATTTTTAAAAATTTGTTTATATACTTTCACTATAATATGATAGTATACATCAAATAATGTATTTCATATCAAAAACTTGGTAGATATTCTTTTTTTTATAAATGTTCTTTTAGATAATTTAAATTTTTATAACGACCATAAACCTAGAAGTATATATTCACATTTAATTAAGTAGAAAAGATCCAACAATTCGCTTCTTTTCATCAATAAATCAATAATATTGGTAAATCTATAGGTGTAATAGTTAATTCTTTTTTTTGCACTAAGTTAATTCATAATTAAGGGAAGAGATGATGAACAATTTAAATAATAATCAATGATATGGTGGTAAAAGGAAGTAATTTATGGAATATGTAGGATTTTAATAATTATGACTTGAAAAAGGTTTTACTATAGTTCTATGTAGTAATTTGATAGAAAACATATATCATTAACATAAAATTAGTTATTTTTATGTAATATATAAGATTTTAATAATTGTGACTTGAAAAAGGTTTTACTATAGTTCTATATAATAATTTGATAGAAAGCATAGATCATTAACATAAAATTAGTTATTTTAGATATCGTTAAGATAAGATTAATTATTTTTTAAAGTTATTTTAAAATTAGGGATAATTTTTAAACATATAATATAATATTCTATATAGGTAAAACCCAAATGACCCATAACCCATTAATTCTCTTCAATTAAGCATGCCACATAAGAGTGAGAAACAATTCTAATTAAAATAACTACTTTCATATATATATATATTCTCATCGCCTCACTTCAAGCTCTCTTCGTTCGCAAGTATTTTAGCCAATTGTCCAGCCATGATAATATAAAGTTGCAACGTAGCCTTTCTTCTCACCATCTCTCCAAGGCATGCTTTATATGTAGGACTGATACCCAGCAATACTCTTGAATGTTGAAATTGGTCGTTTTGGCGGTTCAAATTCTTATTGGCAGTTTGTTTTAGGGTTAAATGCAAAAAACCCCCCACGAACTATATACCTAGTTGCAGTTCATTCCCTAAATTATAATAAAAGGCATTTTGCCCCCTTGAATGATATGCTTGGACAACACTCCTTTACTATCTTAAATTTTTTCTTTTTTCTCTATTCTTTTTTTTTTTCATTTTTTCCTTTTCTCCCTTTTCTTTATTTCTTTTTCTTCCTTCGCTCATGGAACTATCCAATGTTTCCCTCAAGTGCTAAAAGACTTACATCAAAATATTTAATATTTTTAAACTGCTTTTTAAATTTGTTTATTTGTTAAATTCATTCTTAATAATTCATGATAAACTCTTTTTATTACAAAATATATGTAGCTTATATTGTAAAGTGTATTAATCTAGGAATTCAACAATTAAGTACCTATAAACAAATAAGAGTTCACAATTACTCAACTAAATATAACAAAAGTAACTTATTATATATCATATAAGAAAGAAAAGTTAACAATTGTTATTTGTATTGAAATAAAAAAAATAAGAATAAACAACAATAGTAGTTCATTTTTTATTTTTTTATTGATATATTAATAATTGATTAATCAATATCTCTATTTTGTTCTTATATATTTGAATAGTTCAATTTCTTAAATGTCATTGACTTCAACATTTGGAAAACAATCTTTTATACCATAAAATTCTTTTATAAAATATTGAAATGAGAAATTAAGAAATTAACAAGTTTTGACTAATCTAGTATATTGATTTAAACAATGCTCAAAGAAAATAAAGAGGAAGAATCTAAAAAGAAAATGATAGGGAATAAAGAAAAATAACAATGCTTAAGATAAACGGGGTGAATTTTTCCAACTATATATATCATACTGACTTTATGGTAAAGAGTAATAATGGCTTTTAATTAATGACCATTAATGGTGTCGGTTCATAATGTATTATTCTTGGACTTCTTCATTTTTTTTTAAAATACAAATCATAGTTTGCTTGGTCGGTGGTAGAAGTCGAGCTGGTTAGGAGAAAGGTGCATTTTCAAACTCTTCTTTGGTTTTTATTGGTTAATTATTTTTTCTCTTGAATCAATTTGAATGTAGATTTTGTAAACTAGATTTTCCATTATCTACTGTCAACTGATACTTAGTTTTTAAATCCCCAGAGATGTTTTTGACACAAACAAAATTTTTTTTTTCTACTTAAGGTTTCAATTTTCCATAGATAATGTTTCCATTTCAAACTTTCGTCGAAAGATTAATTTTTGATTATTGATCAATTTAAGCTGCCTTTTCCTTTTAAATATGAACCCGATATGTATATCTTTTTTCTCTTATGCATAGGAATGGTTATTATGTTGTTGAAGAAGTTCTACCATAAATTTGTGTTGGCTCAATAGAGAAAATTCATGTACAGACTGTTTTCTTTTAATTTCTTTTTTGTTGCTCAGGCTTGCACACATATCATACACATAATCAATTATTGAATTACTTATCCTTGCATTTTCCATAGGTTTAATTTTTACCTAGTAAAAAATATGAATCCATTTTCTTTTACCTTGTTTTAAAACTGCAAGGGCATAGTCTTTTGTAGATTAATGAGATTAATGGAACATAAGACCCAAAGTGTTAGAATACATTTTTTGGATGAGTAGCGTCAATTCTTTTCTTCTTTTGATTATTCAATGTAGTATTGGGTTATTGTCAATTATATTTGTGTGTGTGTGTGTGTGTGTGTGTGTGTGTGTATTTTTTTGGTTTTTCTTTGGTTTTCTTTTGAAAACCAAGGATGAAATCATGGCAATCGCAATTATGTTTGAGGACTACATCCTTATCTCTGACCTTTTAATTAATTTATTGCGAGATGGTGATAGAGATTATGCCCATTCTTATTAATTGGATGCTGGAAAGTAATTCAAAGCCGTATTTATTTCATTTGATTTATTTCTTTCTAAAAATGCTTATCTATTTTTCTTTTCTTTTTCAATGTAATCGGTGCCGCATATATCCTAAATTGTTTTACCAATGATAGGATTGGCTTATACACTTTTAGGTTTCAAAACGCAATAAGTGGAACACCTTTGCTTTCAAAAAGCGTCAAGGACTTTGCTTTTTGTTTATTTTATTTTATTTTTCTATTACAATAATTTTTAAAAAATAAATTAGCCTTAAGTTTATTTTTTAACTGCACATGATGATTTTCCTATTATAGGTTCAATAACACTCCTTCAAATTTTCATAATTAACTCATTTTGGAAAAGCTTTTGAAGTGAAGTAGTGAAATTAGATGGAAATGTGAACGTATTAATCAAACTCTTAATTTTCATTTTATCCACAGATGGGCGTATAGTCATAGTAGTCGGCCAGCCTAACACCTCTCTGTTCTTAATAAACTGTTTCGGATGAAGTCATACCTAAGTCCACAGATGGAATTATGGATTTGCGATTGCTTTGGTTGTATATTATGCCCCTTTCCCTCATAATTCATGGTTTGATTTGACACAAATAAAATGTCAAAAAACTGTCATAATTTTGGATAGAGTATTATTTGAAATATTATTTGAAATAATTATTGTAACACTTTTTGTGATATGATGTATGTGAAATAAGAAATAGTTGGGAATATAAAAATGTGAATTGGAAAATGTGTTCATGATATAAGCGAAATATTATTTGAGATAATTTGACAATCCAAACACATCACTAACCTCGTATCATATACGTTTGTTATATATATTTGATAGGAGGAAACTGAAATAAAAGCTCTACTCGCTGGAATGGATGCCTCAAATTCAGTGTTGCATAACCTTCTAGATTGTCCTGTGTGCATGAACACAATGTTCCCTCCAATCCGCCAAGTAAGTTTCTTGAAATTGCTTACAAAAAAAAAAGTGTATTCCAAATTTC